GTAAAGAAAAATATAAGTCTACTATTAGATACCATAAGAGATACAGATTTCAGAAACAGACAGACGCAATATGCAGGCTTTCTGTAATGAAATCACCGACAGCTGAATTCTCACTTACCCTGGATTCCTTCACCTCTCCACTCACCGGAGCAACATAAAGGTGCCTTACTGTAAGTGAAAACCAGGCCCTAATTGTTTATTCTGATCCGAGTACTGAGTGCCAAGCTACGCTATCTTCTGTTGCCTGAACATTTTAATCATACAAAAGAATCGATTGTGCTAGCAGTAACATTGCCGCAATGGCTATTTTACACTACAGTACTTTCTGTACTTTTTTATATCTGGAATCCAAATCTGTTTATGCAAAAGGGTGTTTAAATTACTCTGCTAGAGCACTGCAATTATTGTACTTAGTAAAAAAAAGTCACTAAACAATTACTGTATCTATCGATTGCTCATTTACAGCTTATTTCATTATTTACATAATTTTAGGACACATTAACCTAAACCATAAGTAGAATTAGCTTTTTGCCTTACCATAAAGTACAAATTAGAAGTTAAAAATGTTTAAGAAATCTGATAATATTTACACACGTTCAGCTTAAGTTATGGTTGCTCACATTGTATGTTCTATGTACACATAGCAAAATGTTATGATCACTACTGATATAGTATTGTACCCTGGCCATCCCACCCTCGATTATTTTCTAGAAATAGTTAATATTTTTGCCTTTTTTTCTTGGTTCCCTAAGGAATCTGTTGGTTTTGAAAACTTACTAGTGGACGATGCTGTTATAAAAAGAGAGAGAAGAAATAGGCAAGCAATGTGAGGACTAGTCTAATTTCAGATGCTAGGAGGTACAGTACTATCATCATGTCAAACGGTGCAATGCTCCATAGGAATTAAAAGCATTGATCTGCTGATATAGAAATGCCCAGTTACCCTGTATAGTAAGTTGGTTTTTTTAAATACATTAATCTTTTCTTTTCAAAAATATATTCATACACTGGTTCATGGTAGAAACAAAACTATTATTAGCTTATTCCTTTAACACGCCAACATATGAATGTGTGTGCATATATATACCCAGTACGTATATATATACACACATATGTCCATACAGACATTTAGGTGTATGTCCATATGCACATATAGTTGGATAATGTTTAACATCCGTTCACTTATGTTTAGTACTGTGTTATAGTATAGGATTGGAACACAGTCTAATAATTGTAGTGAAAATTAATTGAGCTTTAATTTTAATGCATATTTGTTTGAAATAAATAGGATTTGTTCCCCAGGTGTAAGACCACCACTCATTTTCTCTATGCGTTGTGCTTTTGTACCTTACAGATTTTATGTCCTTTGTATTAGAATGTAAAAACTCTCCGAAGAACTCTGCGACACGCTGTTATCTAAGACTCTGTTTTCCTCCCCTGGGAATGAGAAAAGAAATGGTCACAATGTCATTGCTTGAGTCTTTCTTCCCAGTCATTAAACTGCGACAGGATAGAAACATAACATTCCTTATGCAAACACAGAAATATGTTGCATGAATTTTCAGTTCTGAAAACGTGTATATCATACTTACTAGCAGTCATGTACAGTATATATTTACAGATTGATCTCAAAGATTTCATCAAAACTGTGCCATGTTATAGTCATAATTTGCCCATGAATTTCACAAAGATGAAAAACACCTTAATTGCTGGCTATCATGTCTAATAGAACAATAAAATGTGCAGCTATGATTATAGTACAAGGTTTATCTAAATTATTAACTTTAATATTTTGCTTATTGACACTAACAACAATTAACACGATTAAAAGGATCTAGAATATTCATTTTCGGTCAATTCTAAACTAAAAGCAAATTTATTGTAGTTTACCTGGAGGGTAGCACACACAGCAAACCCCATATCTCATGTATGTTGGCATAATTTCTCACTTTCACTCAAGTATCTCAGAAAAGGAGTAAGTGCTCACCTTGGGCTCGAGTTATACTTCTCCCTTGACAGTGCCTCACCAGTCTTTCTCACCCCCATCTTTTTGTATCACAGTGTTAAGCCTTAGTACAAAATGATAGAATCCTTCTCTTTCCTAATTTTATACATCACATTAATAGCCAGAAGGACATAGTAAAAGCGAAAGTGCTCCTTCCCCCTGGATAATATCTTTCCTAGTGACACCTGAGCAGAAACCAGACATTTTCTTTCACTCTCTGAATAGCAACATCAGAGAGTATTATGGCTTGTACTGTAAATTCAGATAAATTAGTGTGCAGTTCTAGGATTCTATCTCTGTGGTTTTCATAATCGCTGATGCAGTAAACCAATGCAGAGAGTCAACATATTCTCTGTAAGGTTTTATATTTGATGTGTATCAACCACAAGCAGGCTGTGAGCTCCCTGTATTCACACTACGCTTCTGTGAAATAAAAAAGGAGTCGGCAGCAATTTGTGAAATGAAAGAAAAGTTTGTACAGAAGAATACTATAAGAGTGCTTTTATTTATGATAATTAATACCATTTTTAAAGAACAGACTTTGAAGAGAAATACTGAATTTTGATGTGGCTCCTTTTCTTAGAATTGGGAAAAAATTCCAACATGATTCATACCTATCAGTTGAAATTCCAAATGCATCTACAGAGCTTATTGCGTTATGCATGAAATGCAGTCAGCAATTAAGTATGTGAACAAAAAGCAACATTTTGACTTGGAAAGTTAATCACATGATGAAAGTCTGTCTCTACATATTGCAGAGTCTGAACCTGGAGGCAGTACGCGAACGTACACACAACTCCCTTGAAAACAACAGGTGGTGTGTACGCCTGGCAAATCCCATTTCAGGCTCAAAAGTATTCTCTCCCATTTGAAGCAGAAATAAGCATATGATATGCTCAAAACAAACTCAGAAAATTGGCCTATTAGTTCCCAGAACTGTTTTCCTCCTATCACTCTCACTCACTGTCAAATGGGGAAAAAGCCCCACAGAAACTTGTAAGAAAATTACTCTTTTAAAGGAAGAACAAAAAATTCAAACAAAATATTTGATGAAAAATATTCTTATGAACTATCTTAAAGTAGTGCCAAAGGAATACTTAAATGGGGAAAAAGTATCTGCGTGAAAAAATTCCTTTGCTATTTGGAAGATACCTGAATTTTAGTTTCTTTCAGAAATCTGTATGCAGATGAGAGGTAGCATAGATACAACAGATGTGGCTTTTGCTTCATGAAATATTTTGTGTCAAACAATTTTGGGGATCTGATTTAGTAAAAGCCATCAGGAATTTATACTTTTTATACAGTTCTTGGGAATTTTTTTTTTTTCATTACAGAAAAAGACTCCACAACGGACTAAATGGCAAACTCTACTTTGCCTATAAAATTCTACTTTTTGTCTATTCTATTTTGCCTATAAGAGTAAAGCTCTATGGAACGAAAAAAACCGCTTTTATTTCAAAAGGTTTCCTAAAGCAAAACTGAAATTTGCTGAAATCAGGCTCTGAGCAACCTGATGTAGTTGAAGATGTCCCTGCCCACGGCAGGGGGGTTGGACTAGATGACCTTTAGAGGTCCCTTCCAACCCAAACTGTTCTATGATTCTATGACTCTATGATTCTATGATTCTAGTTTTTCAATGGAAATCACCCTAAAGCAGGAAACATTCAAGAGTGTAATTAAACTCTTATAGTGATGGTTACCAAATTTTTCCCTTTAAAACAGTGCATTAAGGAAAACAAAATAAAAAGTGAAATGATATTACCTAATCCAGACTGAGAAAGTACCCTGTCAGTATATTTTGTACTGAAGTACGTATGCTCGGATCTTTACTGCTGAAAGAGGTACGATACCTTTAATCAAACTGGATGTAAGGTGTTAAGCATAACAACAGGGGCAAGCATAACACTGGAAAGATTGCAAACTTGGAAGAAATCACACAACTCCACATGAGTATTTCAGACTAAGGTATGTACTATAACTGACAACATTCATTTGCACTATATATATACACACACACATATATATACACACACTTTTACACATATGTAGCCTTCCCTCTCCCTGGCCCTGTATTTTATAGTTGCTCTCTAGCTCTACCTACCCTAGAAAGGCAGGGCATCGTCGGTGTCCTTTAGCCATCTAGAGAATTACTCTTTGGCCAACCAATTTTGGCACTTTAGACAGATGATTTCCTTTCCCCAACACAAAACAGCAGCATATCTACCCATTTGGAGTTGATGCATTTTTATACCATTGCTACATTCCTCTATTGATCACAACTACAGTCATCATGATTGTGAGCATATGTTCTCTCTTTAAAATCCAAACAAAACTAGTGCTTTTTGCTTCAACTTCTGTGCAAACACCCAACCCTAATATTATCAGTCAAAGGTTTAGTTCTTTCAATAAATAACAGGAAATACCTGAATATGGTTGGGAAACCTCTGACCATCATCATCTTGGGAAGATGATAGGCACTACTTGTTTTCAAGTTTACACATTTAAAAGGTAAAGCGTATATGTTTCATAAGCATGATAACAACTTAGTACACTCTCTTAAGTGTAGATGCACGCCTTGGATATGCAGTTTCCCTGGGAATGGTATGTACTGCTGTTGAAACTAGAACTTGTTTCTCAAATGCCGGTCTGTAATTTGTATCACTAAACTCAAATGGCCATTAAAAAAAAAAAAAAAAAAGGAAAAAAGAGAGAGTGAGGGACAACGAGACAGAAGTGATTGTCAAATCCAATTTGCCTTCACACTCAAAATGCACTTATATTTTGATAAGGGGATATGTCCATACTGCAACTTAACATATTTACGATTTAGCAGATGCAACCAAAACGTTATAAAAACAGACCATAGAGTGGGCCAGCAACTAAGGTGTTTTAAAATAACTTTTTTTCCTGAATAGAATTTTTCTAAGTCCCACTTTTGGCTGTACAACCAATTTGAAGAGAAATCCAGTTCTTGCTTCCTGTGTGGCTTTGTTTCTTAGTTCACATAGTAAAGCCAATAGACGATATTGAAGAAGGAAAAAACAACGGGGAAGAATATGCGCGACCATCGATCTATGGCATTTACATCAGTCAAGTCAGGAATGGTAATTTTCAGTTGAGATGCACGTCTCCGTAGCCTACTTTTCTTCTGTGCCACATGTCGCTCCAGGGCGTTGCGACCAAAGCTGTGTCTGGGTAAGCCAGCTTTCCGGTACTGGATGCTTGAAGTGTCATAGGCCAACATAGTGCTTCTAGGGTCCCCAAGCCCCATCACAGCCTCGGAGGCAGCCATCTCATTTTTAATTTCAAGTGTGCTCAACAAAATATTTTCATGTGGATCCATCTGTAAAAAATAAGAGAGCAGATTTAACAGGAGAGAAAGGAAGCCCAATCAGTTGCAAACTGAAGCCATGCTGACAAGGACTAGATCTAACATTACTAATTCACTGGATGTCAGCCTGTCTAAAAGACTTTAAGCATAGCTGTAACTGTATTTATTGTCATTTATTTGTGAACTCAAGGAGCAATAAGGCCAGTATAGTATTATGGAGTAAATGGTATTTCCCTAGACAACACATTCAGTGAGCAGAAGCAATACTGGGAAATGGAGTACATGCTCAGCTCCTGAAACTGGGATTCTGCCACTGGGTAGGATATCTGGGGGGGGAACATTGAACTTTTCAGGGTTTTTGGAGGGAAAACAAATGGAAAAGGGTCTGCTTTGATTTGGTTTTGCTTCTTTCAAATAAAAGCTTCTGCTCTGACAAAAACTTCAGGTACTCACAAGGTCTCTCTGCCTCTATAAAATGAGGCCCAGAGCACTGCACAAGAGAATGCAAATTTTCAGTCCCTATATTCCAAACAGGACTGGGTTACTTGGGGAAAGGCACCGACATAGTCTCACTATACCTATGTGGAAACTCCATTCCCCAGTGCTAATGAATTTCATAAATACAGGGCATGCTGTGGATTCCTGAACGCTGGAATAGCAGAGATCTGCAATTTAGAGCAAGGAAAAACATATACAGAGTGTAATCACATCAAATGTACGTTGAACAGTTGTTTCAATGGGTAGTTTTAGCTACTCTATATTTTTTTAAAGGCAGTTCAGTGAAAAAAATATTAATGCAATGCTGTAAAAAAACCCCCTTAGAAAATTAACAGGATTTCAAAGATGAGGAACTAAATTTTACTCTTAGGCAATCTGGAGTAGATCTGAAGTATGGTAGGAGAACTTCAAAATAATCCATTTATAGGAAACAAATCTAAGGTTATTTATGAAGGTCTAATTCTCCTCAGCCTTCCCTCTAAGTATATATTTTGAATTGTGTGATTACAGAGTATAATTAAATAAAAATACTTTAAAAGCAATAATAGCTAATGAGCTGCTAATTAATTACACTGACTTAGGGATGTTAGTGCAGATATACTCCAGGCCAAATAAGGGATGAAACTGTCCCAGAGCTCCTTTAAGAATAATTCATCCACATTATTCATTTATAATGTACATAACATATACTATGATTATTACTGAAAGTGCACAAACTGTGACTTATGTGGATTTCTAAACAATAATACAGCATTAGTCTATTCTGTAATATTTAGAAGCCAGCAGTCAGCAGCATGTACCTCGCTGCACTACCTAATATAGCATCGTATTTGCCGTTATAAAAAAAAAAAAATCTCTATATAATATTTCACATGGCACGGTGAAAGAACTGGGTGGAAAACAGTTGCTTTTTAGTAGCATCCACTGCAAAGTATTATGAACTGGGAAGTTGGATACTCACAAAAGTACTTTGGGCCTACTGAAACACTGCCATTTGAGTGATTACATCTGTTCAAGTGATGCATAAAAATTGGCATCGCTGAGACGCCAGATTTCCCTCTCTCTCTCTTTTTTTATTCCAATCTATGTGAGTTTGCACCCCTCTAGTTTCATCATATTTTAGTTTTAGATTAAATGCAATGACTCAATGTGAAGCAGCCAAAATAATCTATTTTTGCTTGCTTTCCATTAAAGCCATATGAAATCTTTGAATTTTCTAATGTGTTAGGGAAATCAATCTTTTTTGAGAAACACTGGAAAAATGGGAAAGTTGAGCTGGAACTCAAGAAAAATTCCTTTAAGAACTCTGTAGCACGATATTGAGCATGGTGAGGAAACATTGTGTTCCTGCCAGGAAGGCCATCAAATCAGTTCTCATCTGCATCAGACAAAACTAAGACAAAAAGAATATTCTGCTATTGTAATACAAACAGAAGCAAACATATGCAAAAGCTTTCAAATAGATCTGTAAAACTTCTCAAGGGAGCTTTCAAACATTTTCTTAAAATGAGTGCAGTTATTTAGAAAATTCTTACATGATTTTTGGGTTAAGACAAAATTGGCTGTCATTTTTGTTATAAGATCTCAGACAAATAATAAGACTTTCAGTATCCTGAAAATCAAAGCAATTATAGACACTTGGTATTCATTGATCCCAAGAACATCTAAAAACAAATAGGGGAAGTGTCTTACAAGAGGGGTGCAAAGCCATTTGGAAACTACATTTTCCATAGCTTCACATAGCCTTAAGAAAAGAACAGAAATTTTAGTTCCAATGACATCAGGGGAAGTTTGACATAACATCCACTAATGCAATGGTTTTACCCCTTAGGCCAGAGCCTGGGTTATTTTCACGTCAACGTTGTGTGTTCTAAGAGACTATCTTTGCAAAGATTTTAGTGCCAACAAATTTGTTCGCATCTTAAATCTACTTTAAGCATTTTATCCTTTTGATCTGCAATGATACTAGAAATCTGAGTGTTCTTTACACACTCATATACTTTCTGTGCAACACAAATGCAAGAAAAGTTATTTTAGTCTCCTAGAGTTAGATATAGACGTGTTTTAGTGACATGATATCACTCCTTCGGTTAACTTTTTGCTTCAGTTCTTTTGTCACTTCTGTTTTCATTTCAGTAAATTTCTTAACACAGCAAACTTCTGCAGATATCTGGTAATCTTGGCAGTAGTTAGTAAGATTAGTGATGCTGGGCAGAAAAAACATTTAGCAATATTCTAAACTATCTTCTAGGTCAGAGTGTCTTCTTCTGCACATATCACATTGATATCAGACTTGGAGCACAGCATTTTTCAATAGTCCAGGAATTTTTCAGAATAAATAATGCAAAATACAGTAAAAATTAGTGATGGGCGAACCTTCGTGTTAGAATAGCCAGGTAAGCACCACAAAGTTCAGGTGCTTCTCAAACACTAATTTGACCCTCCTACACCCGGAACAGTGGATTGACCATAACAAGAACTGCATTTTTCATGGTATTTTGAATTCCCAATCTGAAGAACTCCCAAAGTTCCAATTCAGAAATACAAATGAATGTGAAAATAAAAGAAACACCAAACAAAACCCAAAACAAACAAAACCCAAAAAACCAACCCAAAAAAACCCAAAACAGAAAGAAATTAACCTAATATTTCAACCTTTGACAAAAGGTTCCCTGTCAGAATAGAGAGAGCTGGGAGTGTCTGGGAGTGTTATTTCCACCAAGCAGGTTCGCCCAACTCTAAATAAAACATGCTTTTGTAACTAAGTGAAGCCTGAGATAGAATGATAATGGATTACATTTATTGTACACAGCACCACCCATTCAAAAGGATCCCAAAGCGCTTTACAAGCTTTAGAAAGAAGAACCACTTCACTTCCCAGTGAAGCGCAATCACCTCTGAGGCGAAATGTGGTGACTGACAGTGCAGAACAATACACTATATTTCAGTCGAGGAAATGGAGAATGCTGTAGCCAATTGAAACTATGGGGTGGGTGAGTGGTGGTGGGGAATGTTAGGTAAGCAGAACAGTTACATAAATTGATATTTGGCCAGATGCTCGGGGTTGAGATGACCACGCTATAAAAAAGTGCCATGGGATCTTTAATGACCATAAGTGGTCAGGACCTGAATTTTAAGTCTCTGAGGATAAAAACATTAGAAAACAATGAAAGATACCTTTGTTGAATACATTTCTGGACAATGATATGTGCCAATTATTCTTCTGTCCTGTAAGTTAATAAAATCAAGACCAGTTTCCTTAGAGATAAGGCAGCTATTATCTTTCATTTAAAATTAAAGCACTCTAGGGTAATAATAGGACAACTAATTAAAAGATATAGGGACCTCTAAGCCAACAATTAGCGTAAGTATATTTTGGCTTCAGAGGTGCTATTACTGCCTTGCCCTGCTCCTCAAGGTAACATAACTCTGTGATGTAAATGTATTTTTTCCAACTGGTCGCTTGACCAAGGAAGATATGATGATATGAAAACAATTGTTAAAATTATTCTGGGGGAAAAGTAACTGTAAAAGTGGTTTCAAAAGGAGGTGGAAGAAGGTTAAAAAGATCTCTTGGTGCTAAAGGATTGTTCAACCATAGAACTAGACTCTTTATGGTGAACAGGAGGAGTTCAAACAATGGAGAAATTTCCAGGGACAAGGAAGGAAGGGAGGATGTGAAGATGAAGAAAAAGCAGCAGTAAGTACCATGGAAATAAAAGGTGAAAGCAGAAGTGGAGGAGAAATGACCAGAGCTCAGCAACCATGCAAGAGGGTGGGTTTTTTATAAATCAATCTTAAAGGTGGATGACAAATTACATGATGCAAATGGTATTCACTTATAGGTCCAGGTCAACTGGAAGAAAAACTGACTCTGGAGCCTTGAAAGAGGCCATGACTTTTTTGATGGCCTCAAACAAAGGGAACACAGAGGAAAGTGTAGAAATGTTACCATTATATATTCTTCCTGCTACCTAGAAACTCCAAAATGATGGCTTTCTTGAGGAATTCCTCTTACACTAATTAGCAACTGTAAAATACAAGGACATTACAACTCCCACACACATACATACACATGTATGTACATTAGGAATCCTCCAAGGATGACCAGATCTTTGAAACTGCTAACGTCTAGTAAACCAGCATCTCGGTGATTATGCTCTACTGTTATGCCAAACACAGTTTTATAAGTAGGAGGTAAATTTGTATCGATGCATTGAAAAGATATAATATTGACACGTTTACATCCTCATATACTGTTCATTTTCACCTATAACCTTCAATTACAAGCAGGTACTGATGGCTCATTTTATGGCAGAATGGTTCAGAAGCCATGGATAAAATAGACAGTAGGGCTGGAATCTCTGATGGAAAAACCTTGTGAAACAAAACAGTTGTAAATTCAAAAGAAATATCCTTTTGTTAAGTAGGGCTGCCACTAGCCAAAAGCAAAATATGGTGAGCTAAATCAAGAAGGGAGAACAGAAGTACCCAGTCTATTACAAAGATTAACACCTGAGATTAGGTCTCTGCATTTATAGGTCTTGTGAACTGACATTCTTAAGAACGGAAGACAGAAATAAAGATCCCTTTCACAATGAAGACCAACATGACATGCCTAGACATATAATTTAATTTGTTAAAGATCTTAGTATTATCTATAGCATAGTTTCCCATGTCTTACAGCTGAGCTTTGCTTGGAAAACCAGTAACATCCTATTCCTGACTCGTCACAGTAACTCTGGCAAGATTAGGTGAAAGTACGAAGTGCACTTTATGTATAATAGGGAACTTCCACCTCATCAGCAAGGTTTGACTTATTGATTAAGAACCACTGATCTCTGGGGATTCCACTGACTACACAAAGTAATGTGTGGAAGGGAGACAGTCCTGTATAAGCTGCTGCTAGGTTCACTCTGGAAGAAAAAAGAATTAATGACTTTCAAATGGCACCTGCTTAAAGCTATACAGACATTTTTGACATGATAAGCAAGTCTACTGAGATAAAGCTATATGAACTTATAAAGCACAAATGCCTAATATTTCAAAACATCCCAATGTGAAACAATGTCCTTAAGAATGTAACAAACACTGCATTTCCATTGTCTGTACAAAATGAAATTTATTGCCAGCATTACAGTAACTGTTTAGGAAACCATGTTAGCATGCGTTGGCTTGGATTGCATTATACACCTAAGATTTGTGTCAGGCTGTAAAGCATGCAGTTAGAGGACAGTAAAATTAGGTTGACTTATAATTTCAGGTTACTTTGTTTGGTTTCAGGTCAGAAAATCCAGAGAAACTTTGCAAATTCAATCTGGGCTTTCTTTAGGTTCTTGAGCTTTTTAAAGCCTAAAAATCTAAGCAAAAAAACAAGAGACCTGTAAGAATTAAAAAAAAAGAAAGGGAGAGAAAAGGCAAGATCTGGACACAGAGCTTTAACATGGCTCTAACTACTTATTGTTCAACTTCTAGGCATCCAGTTTTACCCTCTGATATATGTGATTTCTTGATCATTATCATTGGTAACATATCAATAACGTAGTCGTAAGTATTGTAGGATTCTGAAGAAATGGTTGAAAACACGATATCTTTTGGCATCCATTACTTACGCACAAGATTCCATACTTAAGACACTGCAGAATAAATGCCCACATAAAATGAAAGAGTCTAAAGTATCTTTGGCTTGATGATATTTCAATAAAAATAATGGAAAATGAACTTGTTCAAACTGCTGCACGGAATCCAATGTTCTAAACCAAAAGCCAACAAGTGAAATATGCAAAATCAGGACTGCTGTTTGAAGTATGGCACAGAATAGGAAAAAATGGGGAAATGGCCTGCTGGTGTCCTGTCCTCAGCTTGAACCTTACACCAACATCTTCTAAAATATCACAAACACATCCCTGGGGTTTTTAGAGTAAAGGGGGATAAATCTCCTTAGCCAACCAAGAAAGAAAAATAGAGAGTACACTGTGATTCTGTAGAAAAACATCTTCCTTCATTTCACTTCTGGCCAAGATAATTCAGTCCAATGTAATCTCTAGTAAAGTGGAAGGAATAAATTATATACGTAAGGCCATGATGTTGTTCGTGTAATTTCCATTCTAGTGCAGCAAATATAGTAGACCATAAACAGTAAACAGATTATCTGATTTGGGAAATGAGCTTGTAACTTTACTTAAGCAGATACATCCATTTAATGGGACTTAAATAAATATTAAGGTTAGTCATGTTTTCAAGAGATTTCCTGTGAATGAGACTTTCGCTTTCTATCCAAAACCATGAATAATGCATATACACATAAGAAGGAAACAATTTTCTTTTTTTTATCCTGCAAGAACATATCACAATGGTAGAGCTAAATATTAGTTAAGGGGAATTCTCATTGGGAAGTCTTCAAATTTGAATAAGCTTCATATTGATGATATTTAAAGGTAGTTGCCCTCCCTCCTAGAAATTTCAGGTACAGATTTCTTTTTCCCTCCAGGAGACTGCAAAATCTTCGTTCAGATCAAAACAATTCTTTGTAAGTGATCCTATCTTAAAAATGAAACCATTCCATGAAACAAGAAACCTCTTCTCTGTTAAAGATAAGTGTCAAAAACTTCTCTAGAAGAAAAGTTGAAAAATGTAAAAATTAATCTATCTGAACTTCCTGAAAGCATTAATTTTTACAAGGCAAATTTTATAAATGCTAAAAGGGTGGCGGGGGGGTGGGGGGAATCAATCTTTGACTGAAAATAAACATAAAGGAAGCAATGTAAGTAGAACTGGAATTTTTGAAATTTCAGTTACAATTTTCAGTGACAATTTTTTATTACTGAGACATTTAGGAGGATGCAAAGGCAGGTGATTTAGAATAGAAGTCTTCTGGGGTACCAATTAACAACAGCTCTAAATCCTACTGTTTTGCCAAGAAACAAGGTGCTAGGCAGCCAGGTGCTTACTGATACTGCTCTGATGAAGTATTTGTTATTTGTCTGTTAAAATGTCATCCCATTTACGTGTATAAATTTAATACTTTTGGAGATAATATTAATGAATTACACATCAGCAAGAACCTCTTGCTCTGTGATAAATAACACCAACATTTCATCAAACTTCCTTTATGCCTGTAAGCTATCTCCTATCATGTTGTCTTACAAAATATACTTTAACAGATATACCTAGCACCAAAAGTCTACTACAGAAACATGGCAAAATTGCTTATATAAGAAAGCTTCACGAAAGATGAAAAATGCATGGAACATTTGATTGTAATCGCAACAGGAAAAATTTCTAAGGTATAATTTGCAAATAGTTATGGTTTTGATATATGGATTAGACAGTAAAACTAAGGCTGATAAAGTTGCTTCTCTAGAACAGACTTCTGTAAAATACATAGATGTTATTTTTCTTGTTTGAAGTCAAATATGAGCAAAGCACTATACAGCATATACCTGTCACGGGAGTGCATGGACTGTGTAGAAGTCTACCAGAGTTTCATCCATCTGACCATGATATACTCACTTGTTAACAGATTTAGGCTCGTGATTTTGGGGAAGACCAACAACATAATTCTTGGGCCCAGCCCAAAGATTAACATGGCCAGAGGCAGCACGAGGTTCAAGGAAAAACTTGTGAGCGGTGACAAAGGCCAAATAAAACACTGGAGAGAAATTGCAATTAATTCAACAAAAAAAATTAAAAGAAAATTCTTGAGATTTTTCTATGGACAATCACTGACAAGTTTCCATTATACAAAAAATAAAGATGAATTTCCAACTTTTGACAACAAATTTCTGAATTAAGAAAAAAATCTAGAAATGTACTTCTTATGATCATGTTCAGTGCTGATTTAGAAGCCTGAAATACTGTCAGTTCCACAGAGAAAGATACTGCAAGGCTCAGAGGACTGGTCCTGACAATATTAAAATGAAAAATGTTCTGCTTTAAAATAATTAAAAAAAAAAATCTGAATTTGTTAACTGAATTAGAACATTCCTACATGATTTACTTGTACACTGATAGTCTGTGTTTTGGGGAGAGTCTAGCATTTTGTCACTCATTTAAAAATGAGTGACAAGAATGAAGAAACTTTGTTGCCAAGACATGGTTAGTCATTTCAGAATTGTTTCTAAATAAATTTCTGTGTATGCATAATATACACCAATATTATGTATCATTGCAAATTTTGTATTATACTTAAATTGGTTTTGTGTATGCATTAATTCCAGAGAAAATAA